GTGTATATCACTGGTTGTGCGTTAGGGTTATTATCACTGAATTGTGAGTGAGGGTTGTTATCACTGAATTGTGTGTGAGGGTGTTATCACTGAATTGTGTGTGAGGGTATTATCACTGAATTGTGTGTGAGGGGTGTTATCACTGAATTGTGTGTGAGGGGTATTATCACTGGATTGTGTGAGGGTATTATCACTGGATTGTGTGTGAGGGGTTGTTATCACTGAATTGTGTGTGAGGGTGTTATCACTGGATTGTGTGTGAGGGGTGTTATCACTGGATTGTGTGTGAGGGTGTTATCACTAAATTGTGTGTGTGAGGGGTGTTATCACTGAATTGTGTGTGAGGTATTATCACTGAATTGTGTGTGAGGGTGTTATCACTGAATTGTGTGTGAGGGTTATTATCACTGAATTGTGTGTGAGGTGTATTATCACTGAATTGTGTGTGAATGGGTGTTATCACTGGATTGTGTGTGAGGGGTGTTATCACTGGATTGTGTGTGAGGGTGTTATCACTGAATTGTGTGTGAGGGGTGTTATCACTGAATTGTGTGTTAGAGGGGTTATTATCACTGAATGTGGTGAGGATTATTATCACTGAATTGTGTGTGAGGGTTATTATCACTGAATTGTGTGTGAGGGTGTTATCACTGAATTGTTGTGTGAGGGGTGTTATCACTGAATTGTGAGTGAGGGTTGTTATCACTGAATTGTGAGTGAGGAGTGTTATCACTGAATTGTTTGTGAGGGGTATTATCACTGAATTGTGTGTGAGGGTGTTATCACTGGATTGTGTGTGAGGGGTGTTATCACTGGATTGTGTGTGAGGGATGTTATCACTGGATTGTGTGTGAAGGGTGCTATCACTGGATCGTGTGAGGGGTGTTGTCCCTAGATTGTGTGTGTGAGGGGTGTTATCACTGAATTGTGTGTGAGGGGTGTTATCACTGAATTGCGTGTGAGGGTATTATCACTGAATTCTGTGTGAGGGTTGTTATCACAGAATTGTGTGTGAGGGTATTATCACTAAATTTTGTGTCAGGGGTGTTATTACTGGATTGTGTGTTAGGGTCTTATCACTGAATTGTGTGCGAGGGGTGTTGTCACTGGATTGTGTGTTAGGGGTGTTATCACTGAATTGTGTGTGAGGGTATTATCACTGAATTGTGTGTGAGGGGTGTTAGCACTGGATTGTGTGTCAGGGGTGTTATCACTGAGTTGTGTGTGATGGGTATTATCACTGAATTGTGTGTGAGTGTATTATAACTGAATTGTGTGAGGGTATTATCACTGAATTGTGTGTTATGGGTGTTATGACTGAATTGTATCTAAGGGTATTATCACTGAATTCTGTGTGGAGGTGTTATCACTGGATTGTGTGTGAGGGGTGTTATCACTGAATTGTGTGGGTGGTATTATCAGTGGTCACACGTGTGTGAGGAGTGTTATCACTGGATTGTGTGTGAGGGGTGTTATCGATGAATTATATGTGAGGGGTGTATTCCTGAATTGTCTGTGAGGGGTGTTATCACTGGATTGTGTGTGAGGGGTGTTATCACTGAATTGTGTGTGAGGGGGTGTTATCCCTGGATTGTATGTGAGGGGTGTTATCACTGAATTGTGTGAGGGGTGGTATCCCTGAGTTGTGTGTGAGGGGTGTTATCACTGTATTGTGTGTGAGGGGTGGTATCACTGGATTGTGTGAGGGGTGGTATCACTGAATTGTGTGTGAGGGGTGTTATCACTGAATTGTGGGTGAGGGGTGTTATCACTGAATTCTGTGTGAGGGGTGTTATCACTGAATTGTGTGGGAGGGGTGGTATCACTGAATTGTATGTGAGGGGTGTTATAACTGAATTGTGTCAGGGGTGTTATCACTGAATTGTATGTGAGGGGTGTTATCACTGAATTGTGTGTGAGGGGTGTTATCACTGAATTGTATGTGAGAGGTGTTATAACTGAATTGTGTCAGGGGTGGTGTCACTGAATTGTGTATGAGGGGTGTTATCACTGAATTGTGTGTGAGGGGTGTTATCACTGAATTGTGTATGTGGGTGTTATCACTGGATTGTCTGAGGGATGTTATCCAAGGATTGTGTGTGAGGGGTGTTATCTCTGAATTGTGTGTGAGGGGTGTTATCCCTGGATTGTGCGAGGGGTGTTTTCACTGGGTGAAAAGTGTGTGAGGGATGTTATCACTGGATTGTGTGCAAGTGGTGTTCACATGTTGATGTATTATATTTTCTTCAAACGAGATACATTGTTTCTTTTATTGCTTCTCGATGTACTATACTGTTAACATGTATATTAGACCCAACGAATCATTGCCTGAAGATTTTAACGGCCCTGGTTAGGTTAATAATAACAGTATTAGACTGTATAACTGGTCCATTGGTCACATGACTTCACAACTGCAGATTGATCCTCATAATTCCTGGCATGTACAGCAAGGTCCAATATCCATGAGGCCCTTTTAAACTGTTACCATTCTTTTGACAAAACATCAACATCACGTTCAGAAAAGACGGAGGAATTTTATTCTGCACAGAAAGTTTCTGAGAATTCCTAAGAAACATGACATTGGTTGAATAAGTTTGTTGTGGCTAAATTTCTTTCTGAGATTTAGTTTCTATTTGCTTAATCAGAAATATTTCACTCTTTTTTTCTTCTCTATTTCAGATTCAAATTTTAATTTTGTTTTAAATTCTACTATTGCTTTGTAGCGATAAAATGAGGATATCTCAAGGCGATACGGCGATCGCCATAATCTTCCATTATACAATTCTGTAAACCGAATTTCATTTCTTTCCATAGCCATCGTTTTCGAATTCTTATTTCTGTAAAGCAGACAGCAGTTTGTTCTTGAATCAAATCCAAAGCATTATCGTCCTCCCTATCTTCCCTAAACCAGGTGAGCATTATCGTCCTCCCTATCTTCCCTAAACCAGGTGAGCATTATCGTCCACCCTATCTTCCCTAAACCAGGTGAGCATTATCATCTACCCTATCTTCCCTAAACCAGGTGAGCATTATCACCCACCCTGTCTTCCCTAAACCAGGTGAGCATTATCATCCACCCTATCTTCCCTAAACCTGGCGAGTCATTAAAATGTTCTTGGTATAGTCCTAAAACATACTTTTTTGGATGTCAAGTTTCTAATTTTCTGTTCAAATCGACCAGTTCAGAATGTTTTAACAATGAGATTTGTCGAAAGTCATAGTAAGTATGAGCTCCACACAAAATTAGACAATGAAATGTCAACCTAATTTTGTGACATAATAAATTTAGCTCCCGGACGAGCCAACGATTTCTTTTTTATAAGTTGACACAATAAGTTAAGAAATCTGCACGGAGAAGTTGGGTGAAATTACAGAAGCAGTACATAAAACAAAGCAGTGTCCAAACAATAGGGAGTGGGGGTTAGGTGGTTGTGTATGGTCCATAGGGAGTAATGCAATTCTTTTATCACCTGATCAAAGTGTTTACACATTCCTAGGAATAATGTACGGTGTTTACGGCTGTGTGTGAGTATTGTTCTCGTACAGCTTTTAGTCGACATGTGCAGGTCTAGAATTGGTGTCAGTTCCGTTCATGTGGGGGCTCTAATCCCAGAGGTCTGGGGGACCGAAGGGGATCTGTTCTGTACACTAAACACTGACATAAGCCAAACGACGTGCACCTTGCCTGCTGCACATCCTACACTGAACACTGAAATAAGCCACACGACGTGCACCTTGCCTGCTGCACATCCTACACGAAACACTTTCAAATACGTGAATGCAGTGTAGTATTCCAGTTATATGATAGGGAAGAGGTTGGGGAGGTGATTCTAAACATGAGCTTCTCGCCTTGCATCCCTAGAGCCCGGGCCTTAGACTTAGACTAATATAAAGAATTTTGACAGAAACAAATAATCCCTTTTAATCTCCCCAGTGAGATGGGAGATTCAGAGACTATTAACATCTGCATTGGAGCAAATCGTGCTGGGGTCATTATCAATTAAAAATCATTATGTAACCATCAAATAACAAATTAAGTGACAGGTTTATATACTGGCCCTTTTGTTAAGCTCTGTCCTCTCTCCATAGAGTAAACATCATAATGCTAGTGTGATCAGCTCACATGGCCTAATCTGGCCCTCCCAGTACTGTATTCTCTTGCAGACATGTTTCGAACCCGAATTTACACAATGTTAAAAGATGCCTGCTGCACATCCTACACTGAACACTGAAATAAGCCACACGACGTGCACCTTGCCTGCTGCACATCCTACACGAAACACTTTCAAATACGTGAATGCAGTGTAGTATTCCAGTTATATGATAGGGAAGAGGTTGGGGAGGTGATTCTAAACATGAGCTTCTCGCCTTGCATCCCTAGAGCCCGGGCCTTAGACTTAGACTAATATAAAGAATTTTGACAGAAACAAATAATCCCTTTTAATCTCCCCAGTGAGATGGGAGATTCAGAGACTATTAACATCTGCATTGGAGCAAATCGTGCTGGGGTCATTATCAATTAAAAATCATTATGTAACCATCAAATAACAAATTAAGTGACAGGTTTATATACTGGCCCTTTTGTTAAGCTCTGTCCTCTCTCCATAGAGTAAACATCATAATGCTAGTGTGATCAGCTCACATGGCCTAATCTGGCCCTCCCAGTACTGTATTCTCTTGCAGACATGTTTCGAACCCGAATTTACACAATGTTAAAAGATACTAGTAGATGGCAAAATGTATCCGAAACAACGAGAAATTTTTAGGAATCTGTATTCATATCCAAATTACGTATCTATTTGGAAATATGTTCATATATATATGAACTTGAGAAAATCTAGACTCACTTCATCTAGGGCTTTAGCATCAGGTTGGAATACAACATTGGATGTGGATGGGATTACTGTATTTCCGATCAAACTGTTACGGTATTATCGCTGTAGCGTTGCTCTTTGTTTCGTATTGTTCGTACTCAGGTGATCTTGTTGACCTGATTTCAGGGCTCAGGTTCTGCTATCTCCATGCCGTGCGGCATCCACGACAATCGAGGACACTGGCCGGCCTGTCAGCGTTACTACGGACACTTGTTGCTTCTGTGAGACGTAAGAACATAGCCACAGAATGTTGCCAAAAGTCCAGACATTTGCAGACCATACAAGTATGTTTCCTGCTCCGTCGGCAACCGTGGGCTTCTGTATATGGCGACACTTGCGTGACTGATCAATGTGGAGTATGTATTATGCATGGGCTGGTACCCGAGACGCTACCACCATACTCACATACATTTAACCAGTGGTATTTCAAACCTCGGATGGTGAACGGAAGTCACGTGTTTGGTATGTAATAAAACACTGTTGAGTGAAGGTTTCCTTTTGGAGAATGTAGAGTGATTCATGTGTTGACTTGGAACACAGAGAGAAGATCGTTCAATACCCCGATGTGTGGACTGGGAATACAATGACATTACGTCTACACATCAGTTTTCCGTTCTGCCGGTGAAGGGACAAGGGAGTACTACATGATTGGTAAACGTGGGTTAGCCCGCACCAGCCACTGCAGTCCACAGCATCATGTAGCACAGGTGTGTAAAGATGAAGATTGAACACCGTTGTTGGTGATATATTTTACAGACTTATTGTTATTGTGTGGAATTAGTTCTGTCGTGAACATGCGGGCCTCAAGCCTCATAACATCTCGACGTTTCTGTCACCGTGTATTTTGTTTTGTGCTCGGGGTGTTTGTGGGGCTACAGATGTACGCCGCTCTCTGGCCTTGGGGGAGTAACGGGGACAGGACGGGGGAATCTCGCACCCTCAACACACTCAAACTGTTGAAAGATTTGACTGTAGGCAAATTATCGCCGTATACGCTTGCCCCTGTTGTCACTGACATTGAACTGTTGAATGTGAATATATCCACCAATAAACACGCCTCTCTGAAGACTTTGCTAAGACTCAACTCTGAACAGCATATTCGTAACATTGAAAAATTTCAACTCGATTTCCATGACAATTCTGTCGTTATATTGATTCAAGTTCACAAAAGACTGGAAGACCTACAGATAATGATAGAATCCATGAAATCAGTGCGATACATCAACCAGACACTAGTCGTCTTCAGCCATGACTACTATTCTCCAGAAACGTTCAAACTTGTATTTTCTATAGAATTTTGTCCCGTGTTGCAACTGTTTTACCCGTACGCCATACAGTTCTACGACAAGCAGTTCCCCGGAGATAGTCCCAGTGACTGTCCTAGAGACATAGGGAAGGAAATGGCTATGGCCAGGGGCTGTGACAATGCCAAGTTTCCAGACACGTACGGCCACTACAGGGAGGGAAGGTTCACTCAGATAAAACACCATTGGGTTTGGAAACAGCATTATGTCTTGGATCGAGTCCGTATTCTGAAAGACTTCACAGGAGTTGTGCTGCGTTTAGACGACGATTACTATTTGGCTGAGGACATCATTCATGTGATTCGGCTTTTAAATGATGAAAAACCCGTGGCCTGTCCCTCTTGTTTAATGTACATTCTTGGGGAACACGAGGAGCTGAAACCGAACTCCTACGTCTCTGAAACGGGAGATGTAGTGATATCAAACTGGTTCACTGGGATAGGAAGAGGAATGGCTTTTAGAAGAGACTTCTGGAAAGTGTTCAAATCATGTGCCACGTCATTCTGTAAGTTCGATGATTATAACTGGGACTGGGCCCTCGAATACAGCACTTCCAATTGCTTCAAAGGTATGAAAATTCTCAAACCTAAAGCTGGACGAGTATTTCATATAGGCACCTGTCATGGCTTCCACAGGAACATCAAAGGGTGCGACAGGGAGCGGGTAAAACGCAACATACAAAATGTATTGGCCATGCACCAACAAAATCTCTTCCCACACAAATTTAAAGTTTCTAAAAATAGAGCAAAAACAAGATTAATGCGTCAAGGTTTTGGGGGCTGGTCCGACCCACGTGATAAGGAGTTGTGTTTGAGATTCTTTGAAAACAAAACTGATGGTATCAACATGTTAAATGAAGTAAATAAAGTAATCACCACCTGATAACAAATGTATGTCGTCTGTCAGTCTCAGCCAGACTACCAGTTAAGGGGAAACCTATATTCCATCTGCTTTGAAGTGGCGTGGTCAGTTTGATGCTGTGTAAGCGACTGCATACTGAAGGTACCAGTAACATCCTTCATCAAGCCCAAGACCAACACAAGATTATCCGTCGACATATTGTGTACAGCCGCTATACAAACGTCGGAAGCTTGTGAAGTTACTCGTAGTTCAGAGATCACATCGGATGGTTATGTCTAGTCCAGGAAAGTACCTTCTCAAGTTTGGCTTGTAACTATTCCAGGGTAGCAGGTAACTATATATAACCAGTATTCCTGGATAGCAGGTAACTATATAAAACCAGTATTCCTGGATAGCAGGTAACTATATAACCGGTATTCCTGGGTAGCAGGTAAATATATATACCCAGTTTCCTGGGTAGCAGGTAATTATATATAACCAGGTTGCCTGGGTAGCATGTAACTATATATAACCAGGTTGCCTGGGTAGCATGTAACTATATATAACCAGGTTGCCTGGGTAGCATGTAACTTTATATAACCAGGTTGCCTGGGTAGCAGGTAACTATATATAACCAGTGTTCCTGGGTAGCAGGTAACTATATATAACCAGTGTTCCTGGGTAGCAGGTAACTATATATAACCAGTGTTCCTGGGTAGCAGGTAACTTTATATAACCAGGTTGCCTGGGTAGCAGGTAACTATATATAACCAGGTTGCCTGGGTAGCAGGTAACTATATATAACCAGGTTGCCTGGGTAGCAGGTAACTATATATAACCAGTATTCCTGGGTAGCAGGTAACTATATATAACCAGTATTCCTGGGTAGCAGGTAACTATATATAACCAGGTTGCCTGGGTAGCAGGTAACTATATATAACCAGGTTGCCTGGGTAGCAGGTAACTATATATAACCAGGTTGCCTGGGTAGCAGGTAACTATAATAACCAATGTTCATGGGTAGCAGGTAACTATATATAACCGGTATTCCTGGGTAGCAGGTAACTATATATAACCAGTATTCCTGGGTAGCAGGTAACTATATATAACCGGTATTCCTGGGTAGCAGGTAACTATATATAACCAGTGTTTCTGGGTAAAGGTTACTATATATAACCAGTGTTCCTGGGTAGAAGGTAACTATATATAACCAGTGTTTCTGGGTAAAGGTTACTATATATAACCAGTGTTCCTGGGTAGAAGGTAACTATATATAACCAGTATTCCTGGGTAGCAGTTAAGGGTGAAATATTAACCGTCAAGCGAGTGGTTTCCTCGTTCACTTGGAAAACGGAAGAAATGGTGGTTCTTTCCCATGTTCGATGATGCCGTGCATCCCCAGGCAACGCAATACACCATCGTACCATTTAAAAGAACGACAGAAACAACACGAGTTGTACTACTGTAGCGCTTGGTCTTTGGCAATATGGCGGACTCCAGGCACATTTCACGTCACGAGCGGAAAGGTCACGTGGGTTCCAGCGAAATATGCATAATGGCCGAAGCTGAGATTTACAGAAACTGTTTCTGATGACTTTATCTTTCACCCAGCAAATTATTGCAATTCACTCATATTCTCCTTTAAGGTTGTTATTTCGCATATACCACGAGGTCAAAAACATTCTTATTCTAGTGGAAATATTATTAACTGCAATGTGCAGATATAATAATAAAATAATATAATGAATGGTTTTGTATTTATTTATGGAAGATGTTTCCAATAAAACCATTGAGGTAGAGGCATCGGGCTGTCAACCCCGATCTGCCAAGGGAAAAGTTCTTCTCGAGGTGCGACACCGGGAATAAGGTTAGGCGAACCGAGAGTTGGTCAGATAAGACACACGCACACGTTCTTGTGCAACTCAGCACAGCCAGTTGAGATGACCCATACTACATGACGGGTTCTTACTAAACAACTTTTTCCGTGAGCAATAAAAAAAACGTCCGATTTCAGATCCTGTTGGGTACAGAGGTTTCAGGACCATCTGTCTTACTTATGTTTTCTGCATTTTTCCCAATTTCGAGTTATTTAATCATTTGTCGTTCTCATTTGAACCCAAACGGACTATAAATGTGCGAAATACGTTCCTGCACCAGAATCTCGTGCAAGTCGAGCTCTAAACAATCACGTGCAATGTAAAACCACGTGATTTAAACTGCCATTACAGCAAATGAATTGCGACAAGGAGATGTCTTGACGTCTCATCGAGCTGCGACGACTCTGTTCCAGGCCGGAGTGGATTTTGAAGCAAACTGGTCATCTGGTAAGTATCGTGCCCTACATAGCATTTGTCTATATCTGTATTTGTACTCAGAAAAGCTATACTCATTACCTCCTATCTAGCGGTTCCTTTTTCGAAAATATTAGGATATTGGTAGTCATATTAAGCAAGTTAAATTCACAGATAATGAAGTAATCTAAATTAAATTGAATTGAATTGCCTGTAATGTATTGATGTGTCTTATATGTACATGACTATCTCGTACCACTGTCCTATTCTTCTGATTAACGCTAAGGGACCCTTCATAATTTATGGGTGGGTGTGGGTTATGGGGTGCATGTAAAATGTTAATGCCCCCTAAACTATATGGGAAAGACTTCCTCCCGTAACCCCCGTATTCTTTTTTAATCATTCTATGCCTTTGAATATAGGCCTATGTTTTTTAATGAAAAGAAACCTACCCTAAAACCTAATCCTAAACCCTACCCCTAATCCTAAACCCTACCCTGTCGAAATAATCCTAATAGAATACATTTCAAGCGTGGGGTACGGGTTAAAAAGATAACACTTTATATATAAATAGGCTTCCTAATGACGTCACGGGATTCCCCGTCTCGCCATGAGCGGGCTTTACAAGTTGGAAAATGGCATAAAATAAAAACTGCAATGCGTCGTAAACGTGCACTTATTCCACAAATAAACAATCTGCATAAACAATAATAGCAATACTTAACATAATTATTACGAAATCAGCTCTGCCAAGCGTCACAATACATGTTAGTAGGATCCAAATGCACAGCGACCATCCCACGCCTCTCCCGACTCGGCTGTGATGGCTGCCGTTGTGCTGATCGGTCATTCACACCGGCTACATTAATTTTAATTTTTGCTTCCGAAAAAGTTACTTTATCATCATGTAGCTTAAAGTGTATTTTTAGATTATTTTCTCGATGTCGGGTCGAGTCAAAACTGGCATGGAGACAATCTTGAAGATAAAGGCATTTGATAAATACAGCTGTAATAAAATATGAAGATCGCACGTAACACTGAATTTTTTGGATGTGTAAATAATAACGGCTTTAATTAATTAGCAGAATTCGACGAACCGGAAATGGTTAAGAGTTCCTCCCATTCCCCCATCCCAAATAATATTTATACATATACTAAAATTATTAACAAAACTTAACACAACAATTACTAGAGAACTCACAAATGACTAAATTCCAAAATTTAAGTTAGGGTTAGGTTTAGGGTTGGGTTTAGAGTTAGGTTTAGGGTTGGGGGAACGGAAGGAACTCTTTCCCGGAAATGATATGCCCGGTATTACTTTGCACGGGTATAAATAAAGTGTCACCACGAGTCGCACGAGACGAATATATACACGTTCAACATGTGCTTAAATACCGATGTGGAGCGCCTCGTATCCGATCAGCAATAGCATGTATGTATTGCATTGACTTTCAACAATTTATTAATATTTAGTAGTCCAATAAAAACCAGTTCAGATGCATTATGAAAGTACCGTTATCTTATTTTGGGGGATAGATACGTTTATGTCAACATTGCGCTTCAAAGCAGTTGGCATCGATGCCGAGTAACAGACAAGTTGTCGAGTTGAAATCGAAAGAGGTGTATGGAAATATTGGGGCTATTATGTTATATGAAATCGAAATTGTTTGTTGCGTTTTGAGGCTTCTTTGACCATCCCTGTACTACCTTGAAAACGATACACTTTGTGGCCCTTTACTGAAGTTTCTATTAATATATTTTCTGGAATTCCCCTTTTGAACGTTGTCAATAATATTGCTGTTACAAGTACTAATATAGGTACACATAAAATTAATACGAAAATAGAAAAAATAATATTTTGTATTGTATTTACATATCACATTAAATTGACACAAATGTTTGAGAGATGATCCTGACACAATTGAATGCTTCACTGAACCTCAAGATCCCGACATCGTCGGAAACGTCTTGAAAAATGAAGATATATCACATTTGACTTGAATGTTTAGTTGTGATAAAAAAAATGAAGTGTAATAAATTTTGAAAATACATGTGTTCATGATATATGTTTGTGAAGATAAGAATGGGTACTTACCTTGCTTCCCACTGCGTTAAACATCAGACAGCTATGGCAAACTGGATGCACAACGACAGGTTTGTATGGTATTGTGCTACTTAAAGCAACTGTTTACAGGGTGTATACGTATATATTTCATGCTTTGAATGAGATAGTATAAATGATTGCTTCTATGCATAAATACGTCACAGACCTTAGTACGGGTGTGAAATGACATGTAGGGAGAGAGAGGGAGGGGAGGGGGGCAGGGACGGACGGACGGACGGACTATGTTGTGATTACCCAATATATAACTTGAGGTTTGGTCTTCAGCAACACATGGATGTTTGTCGTAAGATGTGACTAACATGATAAAGTACTCAGGTTCGCTCAGTTGGTTGTAACATGTCATCATATCCACATTGCGTAGTACTTACGATGTCAGTCACTGGTTTGACTGGCCCCAACAATATTATTTGTAGCCCCTTTCATATGGCTTCAATATTGCTGGGTGTTGTGTGAAACGACAAACATATTTAATGGGTTGGAAGGATTCGATGAAACACGGGCATGTGTATAGCTGAATGTGTGATAAATCCTCTTCAAATTCATCTTCTTTTTCTTGTAAAATATGTTATGTAGGAGGTTACATACAACACATGTATGGTATACTGCCATCAAGTATGTTGTAATGTTATGTAGGAGGTTACATACAACACATGTATGGTATACTGCCATCAAGTATGTTGCAATGTTATGTAGGAGGTTACATACAACACATGTATGGTATACTGCCATCAAGTATGTTGTAATGTTATGTAGGAGGTTACATACAATACATGTATGGTATACTGCCATCAAGTATGTTGTAATGTTATGTAGGAGGTTACATACAACACATGTATGGTATACTGCCATCAAGTATGTTGTAATGTTATGTAGGAGGTTACATACAACACATGTATGGTATACTGCCATCAAGTATGTTGCAATGTTATGTAGGAGGTTACATACAACACATGTATGGTATACTGCCATCAAGTATGTTGTAATGTTATGTAGGAGGTTACATACAATACATGTATGGTATACTGCCATCAAGTATGTTGTAATGTTATGTAGGAGGTTACATACAACACATGTATGGTATACTGCCATCAAGTATGTTGTAATGTTATGTAGGAGGTTACATACAACACATGTATGGTATACTGCCATCAAGTATGTTGCAATGTTATGTAGGAGGTTACATACAACACATGTATGGTATACTGCCATCAAGTATGTTGTAATGTTATGTAGGAGGTTACATACAACACATGTATGGTATACTGCCATCAAGTATGTTGCAATGTTATGTAGGAGGTTACATACAACACATGTATGGTATACTGCCATCAAGTATGTTGTAATGTTATGTAGGAGGTTACATACAATACATGTATGGTATACTGCCATCAAGTATGTTGTAATGTTATGTAGGAGGTTACATACAACACATGTATGGTATACTGCCATCAAGTATGTTATGTAATGTTATGTAGGAGGTTACATACAACACATGTATGGTATACTGCCATCAAGTATGTTGTAAATGTTATGTAGGAGGTTACATGCAATACATGTAATGTTATGTAGGAGGTTACATACAACACATGTATGGTATACTGCCATCAAGTATGTTGTAATGTTATGTAGGAGGTTACATACAACACATGTATGGTATACTGCCATCAAGTATGTTGTAATGTTATGTAGGAGGTTACATACAATACATGTATGGTATACTGCCATCAAGTATGTTGCAATGTTATGTAGGAGGTTACATACAATACATGTATGGTATACTGCCATCAAGTATGTAGCAACATAAAACTGAACAGAAAACATTTAACCTTAACATTGTAGATGCATTTTTTGTTATTACTTTTCCAAAGTTGAAAAACTACAAATTAATGAAAACTTTTATTTTATGATAATTAAGGAAATTAGTACATAAACATACTGGTAACTGGTTTAGATAGAGAATTCACAAATATATGGGGCCATGGTAACATCATGTTATCTGTTTGGTAAATACATATTTATACTATACTGAGATGGCATGATTTAAACTCGAACATTATCTGTGTTTTTTTAGCAAACAATGAGTTCATATTCCATTCTTTTCAGGTGGATAAGGATTGATTGCAATAACATAAGTTGTCCAGAAAGTAAGGGGATGTAACTCTTAATACTATTCTTCTGAGGTCACTATGTAATGATGACCAAGTCATTCATTAAGTTGTAAAGAAATATCATGTGTTAGTGAAGCAGACGACCCTCAGCTCCATGCAGTGGTGGGCCTTGGACTTGTTTGGGCAGAGTTGGGTGGTTTTTATTCTCCCTAAAACAGTAGTTTAACATTCTACAAAACCATTCTCATTGTGTATTGAGCTGACAAAACATTTCAAGAAAACATAGGTTGTATTATTTTGGAACTTAGATCTCAGTTTTGTCTACTTTTATGTGAGTGAATAAACCAACTATAACAGGCAGATACAAGAGTTACCTCCCTTCACGCAGATAACAGTTAATTGGGAACAAATGAAGATGGTCAGCAGCATTCTCACCAGTAAGAAGCCCAAAACCGAGGAAGTACGATGAAAAACGGAACACAAGGCTCCAGAAGGTATGTTTTCTTTCTTCCAGTGGAAACATAATTTTAGGGAAAATTTTAAACTTTCTCATAACTAACTCTTCTAATGAAATTTAACGTTATTGGTCAGGGGGAAATGGACTGCTCATAGGCCACAGGGGTCCACCGACTGAACTGTCATTCCATTGGTCAAGAGTTTGTACTAACCCAAAGTGTATTGGTATTTGAGATGTTCATGAAAAATATGCTTGATACTGATGAATGTAATTTGTTGGTAAACGTAATGTTCACGTTCTGGGAATGTATCATGAAATTAATCATTGTTGTAACTCAAATTATTCATTACAAAACTATCTATGAGGATCCTGTATAAACATCTATTTCATTTTTCAGATGATTCAAGTGACCCTGAGGAGAATGGAAAAGGGGAAGGCGGTCCCGCCGGCTCCAATTTATTAACTGCAGTGTGCCGATATTGTAAAAAAATCATTTTGAATGGTTCTGTATTTGTTCATTTATAGAAGATGTTTCCAACAAAAACATTGAGGTAGAGGCATAGGTTTGTCAGACCCGATCTGCCAAGGGAAAAGTTCTTCTCGAGGTGCGATACCGGGAATAAGGTGAGACGAAGCCGAGCCTTGTTCCCGGTATCGCACCGAGAGTTGGTCAGATAACCGCCCTTGGGGGGTTATATGGTAAAACCAACCCCTTGAGAGGTCGTTCACAAAAATTAATAACCCCAGATATTGACCCGATAATCAACCCACATGGTATATCTATGTATAACCAGGTTGCCTGGGTAGCAGGTAACTATATATAACCAGGCTGCCTGGGTAGCAGGTAACTATATATAACCAGTGTTCCTGGGCAGCAGGTAACTTTACTGAACAGCAAAAGAAACTTAAGTTTCGAAAAAATGAAATTTCATGAAGGTAAGCGTTCATGTTTGTGGAACGTTCATGGTAAAGTGACGTCATGATCACCGATGAGATGTCATGCAATTTGACGTCCATACAAAACACTGGCACAAACACAGTGCAGCAAAACCATAATTTTAGCACGTTCATCGACGGTTCTGGATGGAAAGCATGCATTTCACTCTGAGGTATCCTTTATAAAGGTTTGTGTCAAAAAAACAGTTCAGCATTGACGCTAGGAGGTGTACACGCCACACAAACGATGCCTAGACTAACGACTGAGCAGCGAGGAATGGCCATTGGAAAGTTGCACGGAGGTAGCTCTGCAACCGCTGTAGCTAGACAATTGGGCTGTCATTTTACCACCATTACACGACTTGCTCAACGTCATCAGCAAACCGGGGTTGCTGCTAATAGTCCCTGTACCGGACGGCAACGAGTGACAACTCATACGCAAGATCGGTTCATCCGGATCACTCATCTAAGGAACCGAACTCAAGCAGTAACAGTAACAGCAGCCTTAGATCTTGGGTCAAGGGGAGCAGTGTCCAGCGAAACCATTAGGCGTCGTCTTCGGGCTGCTGGAATCCACTGCCGAAGGCCATATGTGGGGCCAATTTTGGCACGTCAACAACGCCAATGACGTTTGCAGCCCTCACACAGCAAGGGTGTCGATGGATTGTCTGGCTCAGAACAACATTAACATTTTGCCATGGCCGTCTCTTTCGCGGATTTGGCTCCCATTGAACATTCTGGGACGAAATTGGACGGAGGATTGGGGCAGGTAGACAGCCACTCACACTTGCACAATTGGAATAGAGATTGGTGTTTGGGCGGAACCAATTGCCTCAGGCATCCTTTCAGACTCTAGTGAACTCAATGAGGCCACGTTGCACGGCCTGTGTGCAAGCTCAAGGTGGCTATACGCGCTACTAAAGAGACTGTCACTTTCCGCGTTCAGGGGTATCTCCAGTTGACGGACTGTGATCAATTTGAACTTATTGCAAGTCAATGTCAACAGCAAATTTTAGCTGTTAAATTGACAGTGTTTCTATAGAATAAATGATTAGACATGATTTTGGTTGTCTTCTATTCGAAAACTTGACAAAAAGCCAGAATTGCGTTTCTTTTGCTGTTCAGTATATATAGCCGGTATTCCTGGGTAGCAGGTAACTATATATAACCAGGTTGCCTGGTTAGCATGTAACTATATATAACCAGTATTCCTGGGTAGCAGGTAACTATATATAACCAGGTTGCCTGGTTAGCATGTAACTATATATAACCAGTATTCCTGCGTAGCATGTAACTATATATAACCAGTATTCCTGCGTAGCAAGTAACTATATATAACCATGTTGCCTGGGTAGCAGGTAACTATATATAACCAGGTTGCCTGGGTAGCCGGTAAGTCCAGAGTTGGGATACTAGTCCAGATTAGTTAATCATCACACTTTCATTAACCCTTATCCCACCAAGTGGGTCATTTGAGGCCCGAAGTGCACTTTGATGACATGAAACTTTGTTTATATAAATGTTCAGTATTCAATGTATTTCTGAAAATAACACTACGGTTTGCTGTGAAAAAGTTTCAATCTTATCATTTTTACCACCAAATAATTACCACCAACAATTTAAAAAGCAAATATTCACTCGCACGCACGCACGCACGCACGCACGCACGCACGCACACACAAATAACAGTAGACAAAATAAATACCTGTCGACAAAGGACAGTAAGATAACTGGACTATAACAGATTAAGACATAAAACTAGCAATATATCATAAAACAATAAAACAATACACTATAAAACTGGGCTCTAGATCGCAAACAACTGTAGGTAGATCATCATACTAGAGACCATGGGGACTTACAATACTGTTGCTACCTGCATGGACTCTAACTGGATTCATACCATCCCTTCAGATGTTAGCGATTTTGAGCAAATTAGCCATGAATTAAACGAACACATATCCTACGATTAGTTCCGATTAATTAGACCGTGAATGACATGGTCTTACGTACCCTCTCAGGGAGAGAATCATTTTACACTACTTCAACCCCGGTTGAGGGAACATCAACCAACAACCTCAGTTATCAATGTATTCGACCATACATTAAAATAAGTTAATATATACAACGCATATAAATCAAAATTTGTGAAGCAACACAATTTCTTTTAAAAAATCCTATAATTAAACGAGACTTTATGCTAAAAAGATCCTTAATAGTTGAAATTTATCCTTTGTGATGGAAAAATCCCAGTTAAAGATGAATCGTGGAGCAAGTTTGAGATTTCGCGAGGTTTTGCTACAACTGCTGCTGCAGATGATGATGGTGGTGGTGCTGATGCAGTACCTTCTGACAGTGGATCAGACCCTGAGTTTATACGGCCTGTTCTGATATTGAAGGAGAACATCTTTCTACTGACACAAGCGGTGAGCACTATGTTGGTAAAGATTGAACAGTCTGGGTGCCGTTCCACTAACCGATCTTAGCCCTATGCCAATCGTAAACCCCTAAAATCCCAATCTTAGTGTGACGTTACGATCGGCATACCGTTCCACTAACCAATCTTACCTAAGTCAATCGTAAAGTTAAGATTCAAAGTCTAAGTTGCTCATGACCAACTTAGGATAGCTAAAATCAATCGTAGAGAAACCAAAATGGTGGCTTTCCTATTCTATGTGAAAAATAAGAGCGAGCATTTCACCGTGAGCGTCCCCTAAAGTCCCCCATGAAATGAATTTGTATATTTCTGTGATGTAAACAAACACTGCGCTGAACAAGCCTTACAAATGTCAGGCCAGTCTGACCACTGTCGTCATGGGAACACAACCGAGCGAGTCGGTGTGACACATTTGTACAACAATATTGCAACGTCATGGTTAAGAATAGGGACAGCCGTGAAGTGAACAATGTTCTGAAGCAAAAAGATACAAATATGCTTGATTTCACTGCGCATATTTGGTGGGGGATTCTGAAGGCAGGCCGCGTGTTATTCAAGCCCACTGACAGATTCTACATACGTTATAGCCTCGTCACGCCTTGTTTATTCTGATTGATAAGGTTCAGGCACATATTAAAGGTTATCTCCCAATTGACAGACACCCATTTGACAGACACTGAACTAGAAGGTTAATTAGGGTAACACCTACGGGTATAATGGAACAGTCCAGTGAGTAGAGCAGGGTGAGTCTGAAACAGGCTCGTTACTGAGAAGTTTGATTGTAAATAGAACTTTGTTGTGATTAAATGATAAATGATTTCTCTTCTCAAAATTGATTTTACTATCAATTACTATCGAATATAAAAACAGGTTTGTCACTGAGAGGTTTGATTGTGTTAATTGATAGAAAAGCCCCCTCCCAATAATAGCATATGTGCAACCGAAGTTAACTGAGAAAACGTTTTGTTGGAGAGATATAGATATGTACATATTTGAAAACATTCTGATTTGCAGTAAATGAGACACCTGCATTGCCATGTAAGATACAATTAATACCAATCATTGTTCTAATTTTAACAATACTTTCTAAAGATTGTAACAGTTTGTCTTTGAGTAGTATACAATGGACATTCAAGTAAGTATTTGAAAATATTTTCACATCCATGGCCACATTAACATGATGCGTCATATTTTAAATATCAATTCTAAATAAATCGTAATTAAGTGCACTCGTCTCATATATATATATATTAATATTGTGTGCAAAACATATAACTTCTTTAGTCCATATGAATAATATTTAGGTTCACATTTGTCTTTATTTCATTTATATGATAGAACAGTGTCGCAATTTCTAATAGCTAAGCTTATGTTTTCAATATGATGATGCCGATTCCCGTTAGACTAGAAGGTTAAACCGAAATGTTTATAAAAATAAACTGTTTTTATATTGCAGCAATACAAATCTTTTCGTCCATCTTTCAAATTAAATAATATAGCTTCAGTTTGTTCCTGTGTTTTTTATTTGGAATATTCCATTATAATATGTAGGTATCAGGTAGTAGATAATCTGTTCACTGAACCATAAATGTTGTTGTTTTAAGGTGTCTGCGAACTGGCTGTCTGCGTAATGGGAGGTCACCATATTAAAAGCTCTGACACAATTGACAGACTTAAAACCTGTTCTCAGTATATTACTTATAATCTCGGCTGTAAATATTCTCGTGTAAATTATAGATCTGTACACAGCTCTTTGAGCATGCCCACTGATGTGGAATAGGCGCACTATAAATATGCAATTATTATTATTACATTATGCTTGATACCCAGCGTTCTCACGCACTTGCACCTGAAACCAAGGTGCTCAGTACCCTAATATTTTGCTCTAGGTTTTTTCTCCACGTTTACACTTGGTTGGAAAAATACCCATGAAGGACCGTGTTAGAATATTGAACTTCAATAACCCATGCCTGTCGTAAGAGGCCACTAACGGGATCGGGTGGTCAGGCTCGCTGACTTGGTTGACACATGTCATCGGTTCCCAACTGCGCAGATCGATGCGCATGCTGTTGATCACTGGATTGTTTGGTCCAGACTCGATTATTTATAGCTAAGATACATAGCGTTCACTAACATGAACGCTCATGTTAGTGAACGCTATGCATCTTAGCTAGATTATTTACAGACCGCCGCCATATAGCTGGACTATTGCTGAGTGCGGCGTAAATCTAAACTCACTCACTCACTCAGTTGGTTCGTAAACTACTTTCTATGATTTGCTAGACTATGCAAAGGGAGATAACGCGTGCCTCGCATTCCTCTATCTCTCGCACGAAAGAGTCTCGATCTAAGCTTGGATCGGATCGTAAGATCGGGACCGGCTACGATCGGCCTAAGATCGGTTAGTGGAACGGGTGTAACTTTTAGCTAAGGCGATTGTAAAATTGGCGTAACTTGCTAAGATTGATCTTAGATAAGATCGGTTAGTGGAACGGCACCCTGGTCATCAATATCTCCGCAATATCATCTCAGGTCCTTTGCAGAAAAGCATCACTTGTGACCATGTTGCACAGGAAGTGGATGCCTTTAACCCTTACCTTTCTAGGTCTG